GAAAGGGACAGGAACTGTCAGAGCTTCAGCAGAAAAGTGGATGAGACCATTGTTTGAATTCATCAAAGCAGCCAGCCTTTGGGAACGTTTTACTGCCCATGTCCTTAGGATGCTACAGTCTTTTGCTTGTGAAGGCTTTGTAATCTCATTAATGTGAAGGACAGAGATTTACAATGTTTGTGACTTTAACTGTGTGACTGCCTATAATGTCTGTGCAGTGCCACAGAAACACTGGCTGGAGGATGTCAGCAGAGGTTGGTGGGAGGGAGCACCACAGGGGACAGAAGGGGGCTCCTTGCCCTGCTTGCATTGAAGTCCCCATCCTGTTACTTGTTTATTTTACAGATGCAACTGAAGTTATCTTTTTCAAAGCTAGAGGATGGCTTGGGCAGTAATGGAACAAATGGCAGAAAATCCAAGTTGAAGATAGCTCAGGCTTTGTCTTTTCATTTCAGCTCTTTACGGTTTCTCATGAATCTGGCTCCTTGACAAGGAGTCACAAAGGCGATATGCATGTGCAAAGCAAGTAAACAGACAGGTGATTTTGAGGTGACTGAAAGTCCATGTGGATATGGGAGTCCATGCAGACATGGAGTCCATGCTTCCTTCCTAAGAAGCAGGAAATAAGAGGGAGAGTAAAGTGAAGAATAGGCTGCGACTCTGCTTACTGTCTTCCACGTCTAAGCCAGCACTGAAGGGTAAGAATCATTTATTGATACAGGTCAGGTCAGTAAGTTAGCACTTTCCCTCAAGGGCATAAAAAAATAGAAATTGTCCCCTCTTATCTTTGAGTCTCAGGGCTGCTTCAGAGACATCGCAACTCATGCTTTGTGGCAGGCTCTGTATTCACATCCATTGCATTTCCTACTGCACCTTACCAAAACACAATGAACACGTGTCTGCAGCAGGGCTGGCATTTCAGACACATGTGCAACAGGATACACATTTCTTCTATAGAGGACCTATGCCATGCTGGCAAACATCCTCCCCTTCTGTTTTTTCCCATTTGTCCTGTGCAAACAAAAGGAGTCCTTAGAAAAGCCTTGTACACACACCAGTACCTGTCAGCCAGCATGCAATAAGCCCTGTGAGCCCAGCCAAATGTACACACACATCTGAAACTAAACCACCTCACCACTGAGTCAGGAAGGATTTCATCAGGATGTTTCTGAAAGGCAAAGAAACAGCTTGCATTGGAGAGAAGGCAACTCTGCCAATCACCTGACACAAGACAATACGAGAAAAAGAAACCAGGCCACTCTCTCTCCTAAGGGAGAGCTCGTAATTGAGGTCTGTAGTCTCTGATCCTAAATCCACATCCGCATCTGAACAACTGCAATGCCAGAACACATCTGAGGTGCTCAGGAGCCCACAGCAGTATCTCCAGCTTATTAAAAAACCTTCTTGAGGATTAGAAACAAAAGGCAGGTCAGCACTAACGAGAAACATGGCATGTGATGACTGCAGGTCCCTCTGGGTGCAGCAGGATGGGAATGCCTGACCAGAAGAGCCTTAACCAGAGGCAGCGCTGCTTGAAGAGCTAGGAGATTCACCACCTCCAAGATTGCTGAAGGGAACAGGCTGCAGCGTGCTCCTTCCTTCCCTGTCCCAAACAGGGAAGGCATGCGCCCCCAAGCTGTTGGAGGGTTTGCAGAAAGAGAGCAGTAACTCACCTAATGTATCCACTTGAGGGCTAATGGCAGAAAACTATCCTGGGGGATCATGAGAAGTGGGAGATAAACAATCTGTGGTACCCAGTGCTTACTCACTAGTGCAACCTTAAAAGCGTATCTCCTGTTCAAAACCAGAATAGTTCTGAAATAAAATTGATTGTAGTTACTTGGATGAAACTTAGCTTTGGTAAAGTCAATGGAAAAAAAAAAACAAACCCAAACCCTTTACATCAGTGGAGCCACATTAGTCAAGGATGTATTTTGAAAAAGTTGAATTGAGTTTGTGCTTCAGCTTTAAGGATCTTTGTGTATTGTATCCTGCCAGCTTAAATGATGACTACAAAGATCTGTTATAAAACTTTTTCCAGGAGAGGTGAAAGCTTTCTCTGTGTCACCATTTTTAATATACCATGACTCTTGCTCATAGTAAATTATGTTATTTATCCTCTTTATTTATATGCACTGCTCCAACACTGTAACAAAACAAAGTGATAGATGCATCTGTACTGGTCGTCAAATTCAATAACAAGGCAACAGCAACTGTGTGTAACTTTACCCTACTGTTACCAATTTATATAAAAGACAAATCCTTCAAGCTGTGAACCTGTGAAAGTAAATTCTTTACCATTCCGGACTTGCCAGCAATTACTCTCCTCTGATCTCAAACCCTTCCCCAGGCTGCTCTGACACCATGGGGCCTGATGCTGAACTTACTGACCTTAAACCAATCACTCTCCTGTTTTCCAGGAAAGCTGTTCTTTATTACACCATTGAAATTGAAGACAGAATCAGGCCAATGGTCAGAAATATAGGAGGCTGAGCTCTTCCATTTTGGAGTTCAGTCTAAGCCAAACGCAGAATGTCAAAGGCAGAAGCAAACCAATTGGATTGCAGACTAACTCCACCTGCCTTCTGCAGATAAATTTGACATTTAGATGTGTAGGGACTACTCCCACTGCAGTCAATAAAAATTGTGCTCAACCAGCATTACTTGTCACCAACCTAACTGCCTATTCTGGAAGTCTTTTGCTGAAAGAGAAGGAAGTCTTTGGGCAACAAGCTCTCCCGATACTGTGCCATCACCTCCCTTGCAACATTCAGTTAATTTATGCTATTCATTTACGTTGTATTCTGAACTGAAATTCTATTTCACTGCTATATTAAAAAAGAGCCTACTAAAAAACAGCACAGTTTAAAATTGTAACAGATGGAGAAGTCTGTAGAGTTCTACAAACTTAGATTCCTATTTTTAAAATAATTAAATAAATTAAATGATTGAGTAAGCACTATCTACTTTTCACTTTGTTTTATTAACACACATGCTTATGGCTTATTGTATGAGCCAGCACATCATTTTATAGACAGATGCAGCGAGCCTGGGGGAAAAAAAATACTGGGAAAATATCCATCCCTTAATTGCTAATTATGTTTATAAATTCAGATTTTTGAATGAATGCTATACAGGGCTATCCCTCTAGCAGCAGTGTGCCCATAGAACCAATCTGCAGATATATCTATGTTGCAGTCCTTCTCAATGGGTTTTTTACTGCCTTTATTACATGCATGTAAGACAACCCATTTTCATCACACCATATCATACTGATGAATGAGAGTTTTTATATTTTGGAAGACATTAGCTCTAGGTTTGAAATGTTTTTCACAATGTCCTAGGTTCAGGGAGAAAAAAAAAACAACAACAAAAAGCAACACTACAAAAAAAACATCCCCAAACCAAAACCCAACACATTTTTATTCATAAATTGCTTTGCAATTCATGAAACTTCTCAGTAAAATAGCATAAGTAAGTGGCTGAACTTCACTGGCATTTACAATCCTTATTTGCTTTTGGCATGGACTGTTATTTCAACAATCATTTTTTAAACTGTTAACCTGTTCTTGTCTGTGTTTTGTCTTTCACCCCTTTGTGATGTTACTTCTCCATGTAGCAAATTGCATCTTTTTTTACTTTAGTACTAACTGGGTTGATTCCAACACTAGCTCTGGAGCTTTGAAGGCATGCCTTTTTGCAGGCATGGTGTTCCGATCGTCTCCCACCTTACAAATATGGGCACGAAGAAGCTACTCCCTCTGATGCATTTACACAGATATTTATCTTAAAGCATAGATTCAGCACAATAAAGGGTATACATCATGGTGCTGATTATTTGTAAGCAAAGACTTGGACTACTTGCAAAGTAAACCACTACTCAGTCTGAACAAAGATATTAAACATGCTTTAAGGTATTTTTAGCTGTTCAGCAAGCAGGGAAAGGACAGCGAGGATTGCACTGCAAACTGTTGCTGGATACCCACTGGAAGTACCACTGGAAGGGCGGTGAGGGTCCAACGGCGGGAGGGAGCACTCGCCGTGGCTCCTTCAGCCAAAGAGATTTTGATCTCCCCTCTCCTTTGTGCTCCCTGATCTACAGCATTGGTTTTCTACCCGCTCTGCGAGTGAGTTAATGTGTTTCTTCTCAGGAGACCGTTAAGCTTAAAATATTTCCTTAATTAACGGAGCCTAATCTTAAAGAGCCGAAGCTGGCTGCGCCGCTTCCACGCCGCATGGGTACCAGAGCCCCACCACCCCGGCTCACAGAAGGGGCGGGGGCTGGACCATGCCTTCAACTTTCCGCACTGGACACAGGGAGACCTCCTTTGCTTGGACAGCCCCACTGGGATCTCGGTGCTGGAGCTGGGCAGCTGCCGCGGTACCGGAGCCCCGAGGCGCTTTCCGTGCTCGGCAAGCGGGGGGAGGCAGGCAAACCTACTGCCGGGCCGGCCCCCGCCTGTTCACCTCCCACCCTTTCCTGCCTCCCGCTCTCAACTCTTCCAGCGCAGCCCCGCGAAGGTGCAGCGCAGCCACCATACCAGCGCAGCGCGGCGCCCCCATCCTCGGTCCTGCCCCGTCCCCGACCAGCTCGGGAAGGATGCGGCGCTGCCCCCAACCTCTGCCCGTGCAGAAAAGGAAGGTGCGGCGCTACCCCCAGCGCCGGGGTTGCCCCCTCCCTCCGCAGCGCCCGCCCCTCCCGCCGCTGCCCTCCGTGAACAATGAGCCGGGACGGCGCGGCACGGCCCTGGGGCAGCCCCCGGCATGCCCGAAGCCAGCCCAAGGCAGGCGGCCCCCTCCGCCGGGCAGGCAGCGGAGCCTCTCGCCCCGCCACCGTAGCGCCCAGTTCCGCCCGCGCGGTAACGAGGCGGGAGCGCCCCCATCCCGGGAGGGGCCGGGCGGCGGCTCCCGGTTGGGAGGGGGGGGCGGCTCCCGTGGGGCGGGGGGCGGTGCCGTGCCGTGCCGCGCCGCTGCGAGCCGCCCGCATCCCGTGTCACCTCCCGGCGCTGGTGCCGCCGCTGCGATCCGGCGGGATCCAGGGTGCCGCCCGCCCCCGGCGGCTGCCCGCGCCCTGCGCTTTGTGCGAGCGGCGGCCAGCAGCATGCGGGGGGAGAGGCACCGCGTGGGGAGCGGCGAGGCGGAGCACCCGCGCCGCCCCGGCTGCTGCACCTCGGGGGGCAGGCCCCCCAGAGAGCCCTGAGCGCCCCGCGGTACGTAGGGGCACCCCCGGGAGGAAGGCGCTGTGATTTATTTTGGGGGTGAGAGGGGGTGTTAAAGGGGGCGGGTTTGTGCAGCGTTTGCAGGGAGGAAAATCCTATACGTGAAGCCATATGGATTCTCAGCGGCATAGCTTAGTGGCTTCTTAGCTTAACAGTTTTCGGGCTGGGAGTGTGTGCAGGGTGTGTTTTTAGTAGGGTTCGCCGGCTCAAGAGAGCTTGAATAGATGTGTTTAGAGAAGCATCGCTTTCCAGGAATTTAAATGAGACCTTTTTTTTTTTTGTGGTTGCTTTTCAAGGCTATTCTATTAGTTCTATATTTGCTTTTGCAGATTGCGCTTATAAATAGTCGTGCTAGCATGTAAAAATCGATGTTCTCAAAGGAAGAAAAAGAAAGGTCTGTGCGAATTTACCTCTAATAAGCGGTGTGGATCACTTTTGTGGTCTCTTGATGTATTTCCTCGGGAACATGAGCATCTCTAATACTCAACTACCATTTGTAGTTGGTTTTGTCATGGCAGTGTGTTTCACTTGGCACTAGAAGAAATTTTGAGTAGGTTACTCGTTCAACTAATTTAGTTGTTAACTGTTGGAGTAAGATTTAGCTATTTCTTCATGCGGAGAGAAATGTGAAGTGGTAGGCAGGAGGCAGCAGCAGCCAACCTCAAGGTTAAGGTTTTGCTCCTTTTTCAATCTGATTTTCCTTTTTCAGTCTTGTGAACTTTCAGAACTTTAACCCTTTTGCAATGAAACTTTACAGGCGTGGTGTCTGCATCCAGGTAATTTTCATACATGTATGCGTTTGTATGTCTTTTCTTGTTTGGAAAACTTATGCAAAAGTAATTCAGCTGGTTTTGATAGTGTGGGGCTTTTGGGTTAAGGAAAGAATGACCGCATTTTTTCCATTTAAAGATGAAGCTCTTGCAGGTTTTTTTTCAGCAGGGGGGTTTATTACTATTTTAAATTTGAAGTGGAGTTTGGAGGTATTCTTCCTTTATATGTACTTTCCGACTAAAGTGCTGTTTGACTGGAAGTCCTGCGTTGGTTGCATACTGGGTTTGTGTGTGTCTTGCAAAGACCAAAAGCTGAACTATTGGGAAGAGATGTGCTATTTTCTTTTTTCTGAATGAGAATCTGTGACGAAGGGTCTGGAGGTGAGATCCTGCCTGTGTGTTCAGATCCCAACATGCTCGCACTAATTTCTGCAGCTGACAACAAAGGGGCGTCTTGGCAGACACCTCTGCTGAAGCAGGCAGGGCTCGCCTTGCCATTTGCTGTGGAAGTGCTGGATTTGAGATCTTGTAAGTGCAGACTTTGAACTATCTGTAGGCAGAAATCTTCTGTGATGCACTTTGGGACCTCCACAGCTCCTAGTGTGGTTGTCAGAGAACTCCGTTTCTTTCTTCTATAGGTCATCTGGGGGATGAGGACAGGATTTCCCAGCATTGTCCACACTGTGCATTGAGAGTTGGAGGATGTATACAGAATGTTGGAGGTTTATTGCAAAGTTGCAGACCTCTATATCTATGTTTTGTGATGTATTTTCTATTGAGGAAAGGAAAAGAAAGGCCAAACAATAGGGAAGGTGTTATAAAAACTTTATAAAAGGAGCTTAAGGGGGTGTTAGAGTTGCATATGTAAATGTCCAAGTGTAAAGATGTTATGGATAAAGTTACATGTTTACCTTATCTCTCTCTTTCTTTGGAATATGCAAAATGATTGTTATATGCCCTCTTAGGTGAAACAGAGTTGTGTGTAAATAAAACCTGGAGGTACAATTTCCTGACTTAAAATTACAAAAGCAAAATAGAAAATAATTGTAATCCTATAGAATTTGATTTTTTTTTCTGTTTGAGATTAGTGAAATGAGATAAACCAGCATCCTGTTGATAGCATCCTAATGCTTGCATTGTGAATTGATGCGGTGTATGTTAGTTACTATGTACTCTAGTGGAGCATGCTGGATTTTATATACGTTATTGGAATGCTACTGGGCCATCAGAAATTGTATGCAAATCTGCCTGCAGTAATCTTCAGCTTGTGTTTTGGGAACTTCTCTGTATTTCCTATGGTACTGACTAGTGGTCCACAGAGAATTATGTGGGCAAATGGTGTTGGCTCATTTGCAATGTATTTAACTACTAACGGCATTAAAAGAAGCCAACATACATTAAATACCTCTCTAATATTAATTATCTTGATGAGAAATTGCTGTAAATACTATTAAAATTGCAGATGTATACACATGCTGTGTGATCAGTGTGAAGGCAAACCCAGGGAACAGGGTCAATGGGAAATCTGTTGATCTGTGAAGGTCTGTTGAGATGCTGTTGCTGCTACGAAAAAGTGAGATGCCCCTGTGACACCGTAACTTTGGAACAAAGACATAGGGACTTTGTTCAAGAAATGGAAAATCTGGCTTTGCTGCTGCTTTCGTAGCGCAAAAATCATTTTTGTCAAATGAGGCTGCTGACTTCCCTCAGAGTAAAGGTTTACAACCCTTAAATAGCTCTTCCTGACACTAAGCAGTATCCCTTTCATGCGTTTGACGTGTGTTAGAAAGGCTGACTAGTAACATTGGTACTGATGAATGAAGTTTACAACATCAGATACCTTCTTTAAATTATTTCCCATTGTTGTTAGTTATTACCAAGCATCACACTGCAATACTTGAATATAATTAATGCAGTAAATGGTTTATTAGACACCATCTGAACTTTTGTCTTGTTTAATTATAGGAGCTTAGTGCAGTGGTCTGTGTACAATATTCAGCCCAGATAATTGCTTTCAGACTTCTATCTGACCATGGTTAGTTTTGGAGCAGCTGCGTGCATGGCTTTTCCCTGAACTTTGCACTTTTTGGGCTCTCATTTGCAGTAGTGCCAACTACGTTTCCAGTTTGCATAAAACTAAAAACAGTTGGGTTATGATTTTGTTGGTTGTAATTCAGAGCAGTTCTTCTGCATGCCATTCATATGGTAATATGTTTTGATCTTTCTTAAAACTCTATCATTCATATTTTCGTATCCACCAAACTATGACACAATGGGAAAGCCACAATTATTTTATTTATTTTCCTGAAAGTTTTTGAACTGTTACTGAAGTTAAGGGTATTTCTTCCAGTGACATTGTGCGTCTTGAAAATGACTTTAAGAACGTAAAAGTAGTGGCATGGGATAAAATCTGCACCCCAAAGAATTTATAATGAAGGGATCAAACACAGCAAGCACTTCTTCGTGCATTTAAACATGGAGGATGGATGTTCATTTTATCTATAAGTGCTGTCTTCCTCCAATAGAACTCATGGTGTCACATTTAGGTGCAGGATCGTGAAAAGCTGACTACAACTATCATATTGTACCTGAGAAGAATGTTAAAAAAATGATATTTATTACTGGTTTTATGAATATTTTGTATTTTAGACCCAGTCTTTTCTATGGTGCAGCCATAGAAAACTGATTCCCTTGATCAGTAACATTTCTGAAAAAAGCAATTTCGTAAAGAAATCCAGATTTGTTTTCATCTGGTCTGAAATTTTTGCATACACTAGAAACAGTGCATCAATAGTTGGACTTGAGGGCAGAGTATGCCAAAATCATTATGTTTGTTGTATGCATTTTTCAGAGATTGTCTCTTTCCAGGAGGATAAATGCTTGAAGGGTTAAATGTCAGGGAGCTGTTACCAGTGTTCTTGATGAGGGTCCTTGACCTTGGGAGCTTGCTCCTGTCAGAGCCTGTTGGTCTACAGGCCTTCAAAGCCTTCTTTGACACCAGTCACTTTGGAGAGGCCAAATCTTCCACACAGCTGAAGACAGCCAGAGGTTTGGTGAGAACTGGAGAAGTGAAGCAGAGCTGGGCACTGGGATGTGGTGCCCTAGAATGCTCTTACATGTCATTGGAGGTACGACTGTACAGCTGGTTGTGTGTGTTGTTGCATTGTGCCTTCTGGAAAGTTGCACTTCAGAAATCTAAATGTAAATGCTACTCATTGCATAGCTCTGTGATTGTCATCTGAGTAGGATTCGCTGCAGGTTTTGTATAATCTCCTGTTGTTTATTGTATTAAATTGTATAAATGCTATCTGAGACTAGGGTGTTTTATAGCTAGGGTTGTGAAGTGACTGCGAGTGCTATCTGGGAACTGACTACAAAAATAGTGTGAACTAAACAGCTGTCAGCCATGGAAAGGAAAGTTTCTTTTTGCCTTGTGATGCATGTATGGGTGGAAGATACGTGGCCGACCAGATGCAGAGGACTTGATGAGAAGAAGTGAATCCATTATGTCATTGATGGAGCCAGAGGTCTGGAGGGTATAATATTTGATGAATCTTCCTTTTAAAGTAGCTCTTTATAGAATCTTTGTTTTAAAGTCGGTCTACTATGCTAAGTTCTGCGTTTAATTCTGGTAGTGGAGTTACCTTTCAGTCCATCACTGGAAGGACTACTTTTGGTCTGGTCAGAGCAAAGGCTCTGATCCAGTCTATATGAATTAGCAAGTGTCTTCTGCCTATGAATTGCTGTTTGAGGGACAGGACTTCAGTAAATACCTTCTATATATAAATGCATAAAAACGTGGAGAGATGTTCTACAGTCATGGTCCAAAACACTGTCTTTGCATAACCAAGTAGTGCAGAATTTGACATTCTTTTATGAGGCTGATTGCTAGATAAGAAGATGGTAGTTCAAAGTGCTGCTTCAAAACAATGCAAATCTGAAAAACGTTCTAGGTATTTTATGATTCACTACGCAGAGCAGGAGGCATTCGGCTCTGGTCTGGCAATGGGATATCGGGCCATTCACCTTTATGTTGCAGCAGAGGATGGAGGTCAGGTAACAAATGAAAGCTGTTACCATCCGATGGCTGTTTAGTCACCTGTGAAATGCAGTTTCCAATAGATAGGTTTCCACACCATAGGAGCAGCCACTGCAATTAGATGAGCAGAGCCAGCCCCCTTGTCAAAAGACTTGTTAGGGTGGCTGACAAGTACATTATGC